TGAGAACAGTGAAAAGCAGCCCTGACTGTGGACGGACGGAGCCCACACGAAGCATCGCGAGAAAATGTAAACTTGTCACGGTCTCTTGGGAACAAGGCTGACTACTGGCGGAAGTACCGGGAAGCGAGGAATGCGGAAAAAAAGGCCGCTCATTTTAATGATTTCAGCAAAAAGCTCGAGACGCCCGATGGGGAGCGGCTAATGACTTGCCTCGTCACCGCCAACGCGGTAATGAACGCACGCGTGAGTGCAGCGTAGTCGAAACGGCGATCCATGTCCGAAATTCCTTGTAACTAGAAGATGCCAGCGTCTAGGGCAAAAATCTACACAGGTGTCTTCAACCACTTTATTATATGGTGCTGAGTGCTGGCCCGCAACCAGCGAAGTCGAAATCCGTCTGAGTGTGATGGAGAACGACAAGGAAGAAAGAGAGCGTGGCTCCACCCACAATCCGGATAATGAACCACCAAAGTGATGGGAACTCTCAGACGATCTACGAATGTTTTCAGTATTTTTCTATGAAAAACAGCGCCAAGCGACCTCTGATATTTATGAAAACCTACGTGCAGCAGCACTAGTCGTTGTCCCAGTAGTACTTGATTGTGATGAAGTTATAGGAGCTGTGTTGTGGTTGCAGATGATATAGTTGTTGAAGCTACTGTCGATGAAATGTCTGCTGAGCCTGGGCTGAAATCACCGATTTGTTCACATGCCTTGCAGGTACTACTGACACGAGGTACAACGACTTATAAAGCAGTGACTCATCACTGTCACAACCGTTACAAAGAACAAACGCAGAAAGGCATCACGACCCCATCTCTGGAACTGATGCCACACTGTGATGCCCATTTATGAGGAAGCTCTTTTCAAAGCGCTGCCTTGTACGCGCTGGGAAACGAATAAAAGTGCAATTATTGTTAATTTCCAGACAGAGCGATATAGTCCACCATTCACAAAAACTGCATCATTGACAAAAACAAAACAGTGATTTTTTTTCTTTCAGAAGGGGCGCACGTACTATGGCTCTGTGTAGTGCACACGTCACATACGTACATCAAGTAGAGTGAAACCGATATAGAAATTTGAAAGCAGTACTGGCTTGACGGTTCGCAGCCCGCTAAATAGAGAGTCCTCCGTATCTCTAGCGCTAACGGGTGTCACCATGTCCGGATCCTGATGAACCTCGGCATAATCGTTGAATATTTATTTGGCTTCCTACTTCACACGAGGGTATTAAACAGTTCAAAGGCAACTAATTCGCATTCATGCTGGTCGCCCACCAGAGCACGAGACCTAGGAGGGTTTCTTCTTAGAGTCCTCCAGTTCGTTAATTGTACACTGCTTCAAAACTTCAAAATCGGCAGTTCGCTATACTAGTCGCCGTATGCATGATAAACAATTCCAGTTACGTGCACTGCTTCTCAACGAAAAAAACAGCGTGCTGTTTTTGAGAATGAGAATGATGCCTTGTTTTTGCCAGTGGCAGACTATAGTGCCCAGTGAAAAAATCCACAGTACTTGCACTTTAACACTCTTCTTTAAATTAGTACGTATAAAGTGGCGAAGTGCACGTATAAAAGAGGTTGGCGTCCGAGTACCATTGGTTTCCGAAATGGCTTCGCCAGCTCTTCTGTGTTTATTTGTTATGACCCGTGGTGAGTCTTTGTTTCATAGGTTCGTAGGCATTATGCTCAGAATATCTATTTCTAAGGTAAATCACCCGATGGTCTTCGCGACGACGCCGACGTCAACATCACAAACAGCTTCAGCAACCACATCATCTGCGACCAGCACAGCAGCTGGTACAACTCCAGCACTATCAAGTACCACCGATACAACCACCACTGCTGCTCCACGTAGGTTTCCAAAGATATCTGAAGCTGCTCCACTAGGCTTACAAAAAATGTTGTTGTATGGATCCTCTGAGAATTGGCCATCTGAATAGGAGGAGAGACTGCCGGTGACGTCACGTCACATTCACATGAAAAAATTTCTCACGCAGTTTTCATTGCATTTCCAGAGCCGAACAACCGAATCTGCCCGACAAACACCGGAATGGTCGACTTTACAAGGGTATCAGCAAAGTCCGCCCACAATTATCGCAGGTAGAACACCTCAGCTCAATATGTGTATGAAGAAAATGCTCCAGAGGAAGCATTTATCCCTTCTAGAGGAAGACTTGCGAGAGGAGAGGTGACAAATAAAGCAGGGAAAAATTTGCCGGCTGCAACCAACATGCTCAGAATGGTATTTCAATTTTTTTTACTTCACTTTAACCCCTAGAGGTCTGCCTCTTTCCGCTTTCTTTACCTAATTGTGTATATATAATTAATTTCCAGGAGTACAATTGTACACTGGAATCTAGTGCCCTGAAATCCGCAGAAAGGTGTTCCTCCCTCAACTACCCGGATCTCCCTGCTGATGTGCAGGAAAACCTCTACTTATTTGATAAAAGCAGTGCTAGCACTGAAGGGATGCTCTAATTTTTGTGAGTTCGACTGAACAGGTTAACGTTCAGCATAAAAAAATTACAAAAATCATTAAGGCCATAAAACGCTGGTGGAGGCAAATACGAGTGACTGGCGGCATCGGACAAGGTGTTACTTTTACGCAAATGAATGCTGGTCAGCCGACTGAATGGTTCACCAGGGTCAGATTTGTGCGACCGTCCACATGAATGATCTTTTGTATTATTCTTGCATTATGAACAGCTTATTCTCGCTATCAAAATACCTGATATACTGAAATTTGCAGATGGCATGGGCGACAACTCAGTATGTTGGTTGTGCCGTTGTGTCATGCAACTCTTACTGGAATGTTGCATGCCACTACCAAACTGGGTTGGTCTGTCTCACCTATTTACTCCGTTTTTTCCTTCCAAACAAAACATAGAAATGCCGTAGCTTTCCTGATATTCTCATGCTTCGTCCAAATGTGCACATCGTGCCTGGCGAAAGCTCTCACCCTTTATATTTACAATGTGGCTCTTCAAGTTATGTTCAGACGGAACAACGAAGTAATGCCCAGTCCTTTCAGAGGAAACAAGCTCAACGAGCAGATATACACCAAGGGAACTGTTTGTTCTGCATGCCCTCAAGACACGGTCTGCAACGAAGAAAAGTTGTGTCAGCTTCTTTCTACCTTTTGAAATTCACAGAAGGCAGTACTCTTTCATGCGTTTGTGGCGTGAAAATAAAATTTCTGCGTTATTAATCTCTTAGTATAGAGAACAATTGTGTCATAGTTCGCTCACTGGTAGGTGAGCGGGTGTAGACGCAAACTCTTACCGGCGTTCAAGGCAGGTGATGCAAGCGCTGTAAATTGCTAGATAAGATGCCAGCTTTACCCTACTTGTATTTACATGCAGTGCATGCACTGCGGTAAGAGCCAGAGTAGGCTTGGTAGTCAAAATGTCCACAACTGAGAACATGCACATCACAGTTCGTTATAGGCTATATCTCGAACTTCAAAAGATGAATCAAAGAAAGGTGTGCGAAGCTATCAGAAAAGTGGCTGTTGAGAGCAGTACGGGGGGGGGGCAAAAAACGACCGAGTCACATATCAGCAAAGTTTTCGCAGCCCAGACAGAGGACGTGGATACGAGTACCAGGGCGGAAGATACCCAAGATGTTCCTCGATAAGCAGGAGCTGGCTCTCGCCCATCACCTTCATGTACACCAAAATATGAAGTCATCTCCAGTCGCAGCCTGACTGGAGAAGACCTTTGGAATTCATGTCACCTCCAAACAGCTGCGAAACTTCTAGTATGGAGTCACCCATGGATAGCTACCTGGAGACCAGTACTCTCGATCTGGAAGACCTCCATCATCGAGCAGCTCCGTCAACGCTACGGTCTAGGACATCATCTTCACCTCAGTCGCCAAGGCGCCAGTTGATGGTGGGGACCGGACGTACCTGGAATGGAGAGACCGATATTTTCTTCGTGGGCCCCGGACTGAAGGTGAGCGCTGGCGGTTACATCGAGCAACTCGAGAAGAATATCCTCTCCACATGTCGTCGCCCGTACCTTCTTGGAAACTTTGTACTGCTACAGGATTGGGTGACACCACATGGAATCAAAGGGCGTTGGAAAAACTCTTGCCTACTTGGAATGGAAGGGCGTTGAGTACCTGAAGAAGGTAGGAATATCTAAGCAGGTCACCTGACCCAAACCGTATCGTGATAGTATTTAATATGCTCTTTGATATGGTGGTAGAGTTGTCCGATCAGAATTCACTAAAGTGTAACTTATAGCGCCTCGAAAGTCAAGGAAGAAAAAAGTCTTCTTTTTTGCCCCCTCCCCGTATATGTTTCCATTCAAGTGAACGACTTCTCACAAACCTGAAAAAAACCACGCCCCACCCACCTCAGTGCTCCTTTCTCGTCAAACCTGGGCTATGGGTCGGAA